CTCCACCCCGGCTCTGGGCCAAGCTGTCACCGCTGCAAGGATGCAGGGCAGAGCCATGATCTGTAGCTTCCATGCCCCTGCCCGGAGCATGCAGGCTACAGATTGAGGCTCTGCCCCAGCTCCAGACCATGCAATCACCACTGCAAGATCCCAGCCCAGTCCGGGAGCATCTCCACACCCTGCTGCACTGCTGAAGCCAGTCTCCATGGAAACCCTGGCCCCGCACTATTACAGTGCAGACACTGCGGGGGACTCCGTAGAAACCTGCCACAGCCACACAGGCAGGGGGTGCTGGGAAATGGAGTCTGGCTGCTGTCCGGATCCAAGATTTTGCCCACCCCTGCGCTAGTTGTTGGATGCTGCATCCTCCATCCCATTGCACTCCACGCAGGAGCAGGCACCCAGGGCAGTTGTGACACAAGTGAAACAAGATTTCAGGATTTCCTTTCATTCCTGATCAGCACCAGATCTGAGCTGTTTATATGTCTTGTAGAAAAAGCATCTGAGAACCCCAGTAACATCCACTGGCCTCTGGAGAGAGCCTCCGACTGGGGTGGAGACACCAGCTTAAATCTCAGCTCTGCATGCACTGGACTAGGGTCTTCCCTTTCCCAGAGAATGCTTTAATCTTTGGGCTGGGGAGTCAGTCTCTCCTCCTAGAACAGCTATACTCTACACGGATAAATAGTATTAATTCACAGGAAACTAGACCCAGTGGTTTCTTTGAAAAATATTTCTTTCTGAAAACATTGGTGTTCTGATGGAAAAAATACCTAACTTATTGACAGCGTTCTGGCCAGATCTGCCTCTAGTGTCTGCTGTTTCCCAGTTACAGCCTCACCTACCTGGGAAATCTAGGTGGGTTGCTCTTATTTCAGTCTGTGTACTGTAAAACAACAGACAGTTACCTTGGCCCGTGGACCCCACACGTGTGTGTCAGTGCTCAGCACACTTTCAGAGCAAGCACTCCCACGCCTGGGATCTTTCCACTCCACAGCATAGATTTGTCCTTAGAGTGGGCCAGGAGCTTTCTAGGGAGGCATTTTTCATTTGTTTGTTTGAGGTAGAGGCCAGGATGCAAAGGCATAATGATGAAACCAGGCACTCGAGGCACCTGCCACACAAGAGGACATTATTGTCTTCAGGTTGCAACTGATGTGATTTGTGGCACGCCTGCAAAAGCTCTTTGTTGTTCGAGGCCCTCCCCACAGGTCAGCAAGCAGGGCGGCAGCTTTGCTTTCCCCGCTCTAGTTACACCGCTGCTAGGAGGAGGGATCAGAGAATGGCATCTTACTAAAGAGGGATTGTAGAGATTTCCCCTCCAAATAACTTAATTAAAACAAAGCTAAATGTGGGGGGAAATAAAAGGACAGGGA